AATAAACAATAAAAAAATTTTAAAAATAAAAACGAACTTTTAAATGCAAATAACAGGCAATTTAAGAATAACATGAAATGGTTCATTTATGTCTACAGTACTAGGGATTGAACCCATGGCATTCTACTTACTACTAAGATACATCCACTCCATGGACCATTTTTGAGACTAAAAAAAAAAAAAAAAAAAAAAAAAATCAGCAATGGTTTTGACAAAGTGTATTATTTAAAAGAACTTGCAGTCCCTAAAACACACTCAATTGATCCAAAACTTCCAAAAACTGGCTGGGCACAGTGGCAAATTTTTGTAATATCAGCAACTAGAGAAGCAGAGGCAGAAGGATTCCAAGTTCAAGGCCAGCCTTGGCAACTTACTGAGACCCCGTCTCAAAATAAAATAAAAAGAGCTGAGGGACATAGCTCAGCAGTAGAGTGCCCTTGGGTTCAATTCCAGTCCTACCAAAAAGGAAAAAAAAAAAAAAAAATCATTTTGGCATTAACAATGATGCAGAATGTGGATCAAAACAAACAAAAGAGAATACAAAATCATTTCAAAACACTTCTTTAATAGTACCTTCTTTTTTCTCAAAAGGCTTATTTTCAACAAACACTTTAAAAATCTGTTATGGTTCAGTAAGATACTAAGGCAAAAACTCGGGAATACTGATTTCAAATAATTTATAATTGACTAAGGAATATTATTATATAATTAAGTATTTTCAGGTAAAATTACATACATATGAATTATATGTATATGTTAAAGGTATATTCTAAGAAGGGCCTTGTATTTTAATTCACCTGTGTAGCCTAATCTCCTAAATATAATAACTAGCATGTAAATAACAATTAACTTTAAGTGGGAGGTATAGTGAAATTTTTCAGATTATGCACTTGGAACACACAGAAGTTTAAATTATTTGCCCAAGATCACAAAGACAGAGGACATAGAATTGGAAACTTTTCTCTTCAAATAGGATACTCACTTGAACAATGCTGTTCACTACCAAAAACAAGATTGGTGGGCAGCTTTTCCATTGTAGGCTATGACTTTTTCAGTCAGTATAACCATGGAATTTACCAAGCTTCTACACACTCAAAACAAAGCAAATAAGCCTGAATAATAAATTCCTTTTTCTTCTGACCAATCCAGTTTAAAATACCATAGAAGGTATTAATACTGGAAATCTCAACCAATAATTTGAAACTATCAATAAGGTATTAGATTTAATCAAAGAACCACACTTTTTAAAATACAAAACATTAACCAAATTAAATTTTACTTAAAAATCAAGAGACTGAGCTGGGTGTGTTGGCAGATGCCTGCAATTTCAGCAATTTGCCCATAATCCAAAATTTCTAACACCTCTCATTAATGAGAAATTATTAATCCACAATGGATCAATCTAATGGTGTCAAAGCCTTAAAGATACTTCCTAAAACCCCCAGCAACTTGGAATGCTGAGGCAGGAACCTCACAAGTTTAACGCCAGCCTGGGCAACTTGGCAAGACCTAATCTAAAAATAAAAATAAAAAGGGCTGAAGATGCAGCTCAGTAAATGGTAAAGCACACCTGGATTTAATTCCCAGTAGCAAAAAAACAAAACAAAACTACAAGCACCAAGATTATACAACAACTACAATTATACTTATTGAGTAATATCCACCAGATCCTTATTCTTCCATCTTATCTGGCCTGGACTCCCTTCAGGCTTGACCCTGTTAACTGCAGCTTGGCCTACAGAAAAAAAGGCACAGAATAATCCACTGGCTTAATACTGAAACATGTAGGTGACAATTAACATCTACTCAGGCATTCACACAACATATTAGGGTCACATAAACAGGTCACCATCACTGATCAAACCTCAGAAAGCATTCTGAAGAATCTGTTGGGAGAGAGAATTCTTCCAAGCATAAGACTACATGTTTGGCAAAACAAGGCTAACATACTGGTCTGGTCTGGGAATGAAATGGACATTTTTCAGTCAGGGTTATGAGTGCACCTTCGTATATATCACAGTGATGTGAGATAACTCTTGCCCTCAGGAAGCCTATAATCCATTTGGAGAAACAACAACATTTCAACAAATGCAGAACTATAATCCAAGAATTACAAAGAAAAAACTCATAGGGTAGAAGTTTGAGGATCCTAGCTGAAGGTATGAAGTTGTTCTTTACATTCTATGGCTACTAGGTTACTATGTAATAGGCATTTGCTTTGATTAGATGAGGAACAGTGCATGTTAGGTCAGCAACAGCCAAGAATTAACTTGAGTGAAAAAGAAAAGCAACAAGTAGGTTGCTGTTTTGACTCAAGTCCACCAAATTACCTGGGCAAACAGGGAAAATTAAAGAAGCAATTGGTATCACATTTGCTCAGAAAGACCTCAACTCAACTTGGGGGGTGGTGGGGTAGTTTCCTCTATACTGTGTAAAGTCAACAGAGACCAAGAGTCAGAAATTTTTTTCTTTTTACTGGGATCTCTGACATTAGAAAGTCAATTTCATGGCAACCACAAACCAGAACAGGTATAAATGTGGTCAATAATAAAATTCCTCTGAAGTTTTTCTAAATATGATTAACAAGCTTATTCAGTAGGACATGAGAAAAAGTTTCTGGCATATTGATGCAAAAATCTTTTAAAATTAATTTAACAGATAAAATTTGTGCCCACTACCAATTAAGCAGCAATTTCTACCTATAAAGTGCTATATTTCATATCTTCAACCTACCTTATAGATGATGACCACCACACCATGGTGAGAAACTGCACCTTTTTAAATTACCTCAAAATAGTTAATGCAACTTTGTAAAACTGACAATATCTAGTACTTATTTAACACTATGGCTTTTTTCACAGCCATTGTTGGGTCTCAAAACCACCTGGTAAGGTAAAAGAGTAATTATCCATCCTCATTTTATAGATAAAATAAATGGAGCAGATAGGGAAGTGATTAGTTCAAGGTCACACTGGCAGTGTGTGAATTTCCAAGGCGTAGATGTGTCTTCTTTGCTAGGATAAGGTTCTTAAAATAGGATCAGAAAACCTCATCTAAATAACATAAATATAGTACTCTTAAAAGTTAAAGTGGAAAAATAAACAATACTCAAAATTTACTTTGCTAGGTGAAAGCACTGATTTTTACCCTAGTCTAGCATCCCAGTCATTTTAAAAATATTTTACTATAGTACCTTGTGGAACTCTAAATACCAGAAGAATTCTCAAACTTTTGGATAATTGGGAAAAAACACACAAAAAAATACCTGATCACAGACACAAATTAAATAGTAAATGTCAGCTGAGTGGACTTAAAACCTACCCATTCCTGAGAAAAGGGGAAGCAGATGGAAACAATGATAAATCTTAATTACAGTTTACAATTCTTTTGGATATTGGTACTTTCATGGAAAAGCAGACATATACAAAGCCCACAAGCCCAACCACGTTAATGTTCTCTTAAGCTTAAAGTAAATGAAATGTAGAAACTCTGTAATGGCACAAAATTAGAAACCCACACCAGTTCTGTATTGGTGGGGCTAATCGGGGCACAAGGAGTCAATAAGAAATTGTGTTTCAGCCAGGCACGGTGGCGCATGCCTGTAATACCAGCAGCTCAGGAGGCTGAAACAGGATTATTGTGAGTTCAAAGCCAGCTTCAGCAATGGCAAGGCGCTAAGCAACTCAGTGAGACCCTGTCTGGAAATAAAATACAAAACAGGGCTGGGATGTGGGTCAGTGGTCAAGTGCCCCTGAGTTCAATTCTCAGTACCAAAAAGAAAGAAAGAAATTGTGTTTATTTCAAAACTTAATATTGATGTTTACTCCAACATTTAATACTGAAGTTTTTGCATGGTATAAAACTCCCTACAATTTATTGTCTCTAAACCTATGGTAACTCCACTCCTCACTCTAACTGTCCCCACATCCAGTAGATGCGACACACACACACAAGGCCTCACACACAGGCCTCCTGCCCTTTTTTTTTTCCCTAACACAACTAGGACCTTTGTTCCCAGCGTCCGTTTTTTACCCCACTCAATAGCTCTTTCAACTTTCTATCACGTATTTTTGTCTTGTTTTTAAACGAGATTCTAAGCCTCAACTTGCCAGGTCTTTAAATGAAATGCCAAAAATATCTAATGAGACTCTCGAGAGGAATAAAAGTTAAACACACATTAAAGGGCCTACAAAACGAAGGAAAGCCTGCAGATCGGGTGATTTGGCAGCCCAGGAAAGATCGGGAGAGCCGACTAGTACGGGAGGCGGCAGGAGGACAGTCAGACATCCAAGCGCAGTCAGCAGCCCACCACCACGCACACGTCCACACCGTCCCTCCCCCAATTCAGTAACGAAGCGGTTCAACCATCCCCATAGCCAGGCGCGACGCTCCAGCTCAATCTCCCCCACAGTAAAACGGCATTATTCAAAACAAGCCCGTCCTGAGGGTTTGGAAGCTGCCCCTTCCTCCCCTCACCACAGGAGCTCAAGGGTGTAAGTTATCACCCTCCCAATTTGCACGAGCTTTACATTTAAGATATTCTCCGTTTCTGAGGAATCAAGAGCCCCCCCCCATAGGGTCAGACATTCGCAGCCCTCGTTACTCCGACTCCCCCCGACTTGTCTCGGTACTAGCGCCCCGCTCACTTCGGGGCAGGAACGAGGAGGGGGCAGACATCATAACAGGTTTTATGTAATCCATATATAAATTAATCGCCTGAGTCTCTATGAATGTAATGCGCCTGAGGTGACAATTGGACCACCTCCCTCCCCAAGTCCTAGTTAACCTCCCCACCCACCCACTCCCAGTCCCATCAATCTCTACGGATATTGCTCCCTTCCTCTCAGCCAAGTTTCTCGGCCTTTTCCATGCCCGCCACCAACCCTCACGTCGTCACCCTTCCTCAGCCCCAACTTCCCACGGCTAAAACAACTGCCCCGCGCTGCCCCGGCTCCGAGCTCGCCCGCCCCCAACCGTCCCCCCGGCAGGAAACCCCTTACTGCGGTCTAAAGTCACTCCGGCCTCTCCCTCCTCTGACCCTCGCTTCCCACAACTGTTGTCACTCGAGCTGCTCCCTAGTTTCCATTTCCGGGCCGTCCCCGGCCCGAAGCCTCCCCTCTCCCGGTTTCCGGGCCCCCAGTCCCATTTCCGGGGAACCCTTGCCGTCTTCACACCCCCCACCTGCACTTCCGGCCCCCCACTTTCTCCCTTCCTAGACGCCCTCCAAGCTCCAAAGCCCACTTCCGGCCCCCCCAATCCCCGCTGGACTCCCCAAGACCCACATGCCTCACCCCGATTCCGTGAAGGTCCCTCCTCATTGCCGGGGGCCGGAGGGGGGACCCAGCGACCCCGCCCCGCTCCCGCCGGCCCCGG